ACAAAGTGAAGAAGTTTTTCACTTCATTTCTGACCAATAATTCAAAACAAAATCATTTAAATAACAAACGATTGAATGTTAAGTACGAACCCAAAGACATCTTCAAAACCAGTGATTATATAACGATTACTCCTTCGCCACCGAATGCCCTCCAGAGTCGCGACCACACGGCCAACGGTTCTTCTCATTCATCCATCATTTGATGCATTTTATACCAAAATGTATTAGAAATTGTTTTTTAGTCAAAATTTTAATATTAATATTACGTATAAATAATTGTTTTTAAACAAAACAAATGTCAAATAAATTAATTAAGAATTACTATTAATTATGAATAAAATAGCCAAACGGACGACTCATTAATTATTTGAACCAATCGTACGATTAAGTAATAATATATAATAAATTAATTTCAATTGAATGAACACTTGAGGACTTTGTTGTTTGGTTTGTGTTCACCACTGCTTCACGTTTTTTTTCATTCTTCAGCTAAAATGAGATTTGCTTACAGTTAGACACGCTTTGCAGTGAAGCACACGATTGCCATTCAAATACCATAACTCGGGAAATAGTGTGCAGTGAAGAGCGCTTTACACTGTAAGGCAAAGCTTACAGTTTCCCGGCTTTGATTCAGTAGTGATTGGCCTCACATGTGATGAACGCGCGGACAATCAATCATTGGATCAAATCATTGATTTTGATCACACATTCGATGGCAACCAATTCGCAAGACATGAGTGAAAACACGACAATCGATGGCAACACAAACGGTTCCAAATGTGGACCAATTATTTGGATGAGATGCAGACATCACGTGATGAATGACCATCTCTTGTGTCTAATATTGAATGAATTGTCGATCAGACAAATGATCCGTTTGTCAACAGTGTCTCAACAGTTCAGGCGTTGTGTCCGCACATGTATTGAGAGGAGGGCTCAAAAAGAGGATTTTACACACATTCAAACTACTATGTAATCAATATGTAATACATGTTTGTATTTTATACTCTCATTAAATACTAGTTTTCAAAAATAAGTTTTATTCTCAATTTTTCTATTTAATAAACTGTGAGATGAGATGTGGAAACTGCCTGTTTGGACCGTATAATCAATATCTTTGGGGTCTCTTTAGGCAATGATTGCAACCCTTTAATCGTCATAATCTTCATCACTATTTAACAATGAAAACTCAAAATTATCATCTCTTCCATTGATCCGTATATTGTGTGGCATTTGAACATTCATTTCTTCCAATTTGTCCATTAGTTCCCGTCGGACAACAGACGACACTTGTAATCGAAAGAGTGTCTTCTTTTTGGCCATACTTTGGGTTAAGAACTTTAGCAAATGATTGGTATATATAAAATACGTGAAGAGAGCCAATGAATGCAAACCAGTAAATAAATGCAATGTATTGAATGTCAGCCCCTGTCCGGTGTTATCACCCATCGTTAGGTGCCTTAGTTTTGGTACTTTGGCCACACATTGCATGCATTCATGAAAGCATTGTCTGTGGAGAGAATGAGTGAAGTCGTGGTCGCAATTCGTGTGCCATTCATTTACTTTGAGATATATTCGGCTCACATTAGGCAGCAATTGAGGCAAATTTGACCACATTTTGGGCGAACAATTGATTTGATCCAAACTCAAAGACTTGAGTGAATTCATTGGTTTAATTACTGTTGTGTCGAAACACATGCTATGATTCCCTTTAATTGCCAAATGTGTTAATTGGGTTAACTTGGCTAAGCTTTCTGCTAAATCTTTGCATGAAATATCTCCCAATTGTATGTCGAGTCTCTTGAGTCGATGGAAACGGTTGCAAATTGTCATAAAACAATCCAACCAATAATATGAGAGAATGCAATCGCGAATACAAATCTCTTGTATTTGAATGCATTTTGTGGCCATCATTTCGAGCGCCTGTGTGTTTATTGATGACCAGTTTGTCGTCAGCGACCGAATGTTTGTCGGCAGACAATTGGCCAGTAATGACGGTTTGAATATTGTATAATAGATTTCAATACTTTCAAGTGATGGTAATTCACGTATGATATGCGCCATAAAAGTTACATATTTTCTATCAATAGTAATCACTATTTGTTTGACTTTTGCCAGAAGTTGCGCCCATTCGGTGACTACTGTCCCTCTCATATCATTAGTGGGCAATTGTATGTCGATGTCAGTCAAATGCAAGCGTTTGATGTGCGGTAAGCGTTGGACAATCACTTCCATCGTTTTGTAATCGATAAAAACGGATCTCAAATACAATGTCCTAACGCTGTAATAGTCTTCAAGTATTAAATCCAATTTATTGTGTGGAATATAATCCATAAGATTGATCCCATTGTAAGCCAACGCTGATGTGATATCAATTGATGTCAATATATTATTTGGCACTTCCAAAGAATGCAATCCAATCTTGAGTCTAGTCTTTGCGGCCAACGCTTCTCGCGTGCAGTCGAGGAACTGTTGACAAACTGTTTGCAAACCAAACAAATCCTTGATATCGATGTGTTTGAAGATTAAAGACAAGATATCGTCGCACATGACATCACTTCTCTGGCCGTTGTCTCCACTCATTCTCACTCTTTATCTTAAGAGTTGTTCAAAGCTTTTCTTATTTTTGTATAAAACTATTTGAAACTTTGAACTAACGGTTATATTCGATATAGAATTTGATTTAAAATATTATTAATTGTTAATATTAAATGACTTGAGAAATAATCGATTTATGTTTAAATTGTTATAAAGTTGCAAAAATAATAGAAAATCTTAGTTTTGCCGATCGATATCGCAATGCATTAAAAATAAGTCTTTAATTTAAATCTAAACGTTTTTATTAATATTTGTGTTTTACAAGATTTCAAATTAAAAATTATAACTTATATGTGGTTTACTTATTACTACAAACTTTACTGTTATTTAAATTAACAAAATTGGTCACAAAAATAAGCGTACATTATTAGTGCACGCGTTTTAACACGTGTACCAATACATACATATATATGGATGACTTGAATTTTGAGATACAAATCGTGGATCAGATTATATGTCACTCGAGTTATCCAACACCACTTTCTCTCCGGCTTTAAAGGCAGGCATTCCTAGATATGGACACTTCGCGCACCGAAAGGCGTCACCCAAATAGCACTGAAAACAATTGAGACAAACGTTATAATAATCTCGTTATGGAAACACTTTCGTTGACACATACGTTACCGCACGAAGACTTGGCGTTTTGCGAGTTCTCTCGCACCTTATCGATGGCCTCGGACTCGAGTTCTTCGGCTAAACCACACGAGCAATTGGCACAGGCTTTGCGCTCTTTGGTTGTGGCGCACACTCGAAGCGATTCCGGGTTCGGTAGAGCCCTGTCCTCGTCGGTCAACAGGTCCTCGTCGTCAATCAAATCCACCGAATCGTCGATAATATCGTTTGCGGCCAACGACCAGATCTTAGCCGTAGACGGCTTACTGTCGCCGAGGTTTAGCTTAACGGCTGATCCGGTCTCGTAGTCGGGCTTATAAGCCGTGATCTCATCCATAGTTTCGGCGATTTTGACGAAACCATTCAACTTAAGCGAAGACACAGTCTGTCCGGACTGACAGTCCTTCGACTTCTTCACAATTAGCCGACCCTTCGGTTTGAGTGAAGACAACAATTGGACCAAAATTTTGTCCTCTATTTGTTGAACAGAACTCAAGATGACGTCAAAGTCCTTATCACTCGCCGACACTATCCATGGGATCAAACATTAAGACAATTAAGTACTCAATTGATAGAAATATAAAAATCATTGAAAAATACGTACAATTATTGATGTCTTTAACGAATAGATTATTTTTGTTGACTTTAGCGCCGATTGTGTCGACAACTGTCTGTCCAAAGGCCGAGCCGTCGGTCGAGAGCAGCAAAACCTTGTCATTCGTCTCAAACGTGATCTCCATTTCAATGCGTTTTTCAATTCAAAAAACAAACGTTTTTTAAAATGTAATGAAATTTGTTTTGAAATTAATTTTTGTCGCAAAGAAGTCAATGTTTAATACGAGTGGTTATGACGTAAATAGCGTTCATATATTTGCCACAAATATTAAACCCGTTTCGTGTAAATCGTGGGAACATTCGTATGACTACTGTATATAAGGGTCCAAAAGGGGGACAACAATAGCCCTCACAAAAAGCGGACGTTATTTACGTACAAATGGTATGCAATCCATAGTAAACACTAACAGAGAGTCTAAAAGCGTTTAGTTTGCGATCAAATTGTGGACACATTTACTGCCATTCAATACATATTTGCCATTCAGNACAAAGTGAAGAAGTTTTTCACTTCATTTCTGACCAATAATTCAAAACAAAATCATTTAAATAACAAACGATTGAATGTTAAGTACGAACCCAAAGACATCTTCAAAACCAGTGATTATATAACGATCACTCCTTCGCCACCGAACGCCCTCCAGAGCCGCGACCACACGGCCAACGGTTCCTCTCATTCATCCATCATTTGATGCATTTTATACCAAAATGTATTAGAAATTGTTTTTTAGTCAAAATTTTAATATTAATATTAATATACGTATAAATAATTGTTTTGAAACAAAACAAATGTCAAATAAATTAATTAAGAATTACTATTAATTATGAATAAAATAGCCAAACGGACGACTCATTAATTATTTAAACCAATCGTACGATTAAATAATAATATATAATAAATTAATTTCAATTGAATGAACACTTGAGGACTTTGTTGTTTGGTTTGTGTTCACGGCTTCACTGCTTCACGTTTTTCTCATTCTTCAGCTAAAATGAGATTTGCTTACAGTTAGACACGCTTTGCAGTGAAGCACACGATTCCCATTCAAATACCATAACTCGGGAAATAGTGTGCAGTGAAGAGCGCTTTACACTGTAAGGCAAAGCTTACAGATTCACGGCTTTGATTCAGTAGTGATTGCCCTCACATGTGATGAACGCGCGGACAATCAATCATTGGATCAAATGATTGATTTTGATCACACATTCGATGGCAACCAATTCACAAGACATGAATGAAGACAAGACAATCGATGGCAACACAAACGGTTCCAAATGTGGACCAATTATTTGGATGAGATGCAGACATCACGCGATGAATGACCATCTCTTGTGTCTAATATTAAATGAATTGTCGATCAGACAAATGATCCGTTTGTCAACAGTGTCTCAACAGTTCAGGCGTTGTGTCCGCACATGTATTGAGAGGAGGGCTCAAATGGGCTCAAAAAGAGGATTTTACACACATTCAAACTTTTAAAATAACTACTATGTAATCAATATGTAATACATGTTTGTATTTTATACTCTCATTAAATACTAGTTTTCGAAAATAAGTTTTAATTTTTCTATTTAATAAACTGTTTGTTTGGATCGTATAATAAATATCTTTGGGGTGTCTTAAGGGCCTAAAGTTTAGGCAATCATTGCAACCCTTTAATCACCATAATCTTGATCACTATTTAACAATGAATAGCCACAATTATCATCTCTTCCATTGATCTGTATATTGTGTGGCATTTGAACATTCATTTCTTCCAATTTGTCCATTAGTTCCCGTCGGACAACAGACGACACTTGTAATCGAAAGAGTGTCTTCTTGTTGGCCATACTTTGGGTTAAGAACTTTACCAAATGATTGGTATATATGAAATACGTAAAGAGAGACAATGAATGCAAACCATTAAATAAATGCAATGTATCGAATGTAAGCCCCTGTCCGATGTTATCACCCATTGTTAGGTGTCTTAGTTTTGGTACTTTGGCCACAGATTGCATGCATTTGTGAAAGCATTTTCTATGGAGAGAAGAAGTGAAGTCGTGGTTGCAATTCATGTGCCATTGATTCACTTTGAGATATATTCGGTTCACATTAGGCAGCAATTGAGGCAAATTTGACCACATTTTGGGCGAACAATTGATTTGATCCAAACTCAAAGACTTGAGTGAATTCATTGGTTTAATTACTGTTGTGTCGAAACACATGCTATGATTCCCTTTAATTGCCAAATGTGTTAATTGGGTTAACTTTGCTAAGCTTTCTGCTAAATCTTTGCATGAAATATCTCCCAATTGTATGTCGAGTCTCTTGAGTCGATGGAAACGATTGCAAATTATCATAAAACAATCCAACCAATAATATGAGAGAATGCAATCGCGAATACAAATCTCTTGTATTTGAATGCATTTTGTGGCCATCATTTCGAGGGTCTGTGTGTTTATTGATGACCAGTTTGTTGTCAGCGACCGAATGTTTGTCGGCAGACAATTGGCCAGTAATAACGGTTTGAATATTGTATAATAGATTTCAATACTTTCAAGTGATGGTAATTCACGTATGATATGCGCCATAAAAGTTACATATTTTCTATCAATAGTAATCACTATTTGTTTTACTTTTGCCAGAAGTTGCGCCCATTCGGTGACTACTGTCCCTCTCATATCATTAGTGGGCAATTGTATGTCGATGTCGAACAAATGCAAGCGTTTGATGTGCGGTAAGCGTTGGACAATCACTTCCATCGTTTTGTAATCGATAAAAACGGATCTCAAATACAATGTCCTAACGCTGTAATAGTCTTCAAGTATTAAATCCAATTTA